TAGTTGTTAACTTAATCCAAGATTCCTTTTGGCTTTGATGTGTGACAAGCCGAGCATGGGCCTTCTAGAAAGAGTGGGATACCTGCGGAAAGTATCCCAGGCCTGTTTCTGAGCCTTCCGTGTCTTTTTTTACATTTTGTATATTAATGACATATTTGCCAGTTAGTTTTAATCTTAGATTGGTTTTCTTTAAGGTCAAAATTTATATATTGAATATTTCTACAAGATGTTTATTGACTATTGAGAATAATTTTAAAGTGTGTTCTTAGATATATTTCAAGATCATTAAAATTTATACAATGCACACACTTTATATGATGAAAAATAAATTTCCTAACTATTATCTATTTTATTTTTTAACATAATTATTGTATTTTTACACAATATAAAACAAACCCAAAATGAGTGATATTACAATAAATAACAAACATTTGACTGATTTTCATACTGAAACTCAAAATGAAAATATAAGTATTAAAAACAGAAAGATACAGGAAATAACTATCAATAGCTTGGTTTTCTTAGGTATGAAAACTAGGTTCCAATCTATGTAAAATATATAATGGATATTGGAAGTAAGTATTACAATACTAATATAGTTTTACTTAAATTGTATGTATGGCTCATATGTAATTAGGGAATCTGTATGGATCCACAAATAGTTATGTATAAATAGTCTAAAACTGTGTTTAAAAAGCCAGTGGGGTCCATATGAACCCCATCAATAATTTCAACATTACAACAATCAAGAAACTTAGATAAATCACATTTCCAATATACATGTGTTTCATATTTTGGTAATTGGTAGATTAATCATGATTTGTCTAATTTTCTTATGCTATATGTTTTCCCAGCATCATGAGAAATATCTAATCTATCTGAGATTATTAACTTTACCTACAACTAAATAATATTTGCAATGTTTAATATCTTCCTGGAGCTGATGCATTAGTTCATGCATTACATAATTCAATAGGGTAATGTGAGCTACAAGTTCAGATGACTTACAACTTGTGTGGTGGGAATATTAGTTAAATTCAGTTAAAAGAGCAATAAAACAATAAAATGTAAGTACAAACAGATGTATACTGTAATGAGTTTAAATCCATATAGGATAAACAAATATAGCTTTATGTTACAATTTGAGAAGTCATTCCAGAAAGAAAAAATGGTAATTAAGATTTATTTCACTTTTAGGTGGTTATGAGGTTGGTCAAGTTGACCAACCTAGTATAGGGTTAGGGTAGAGAAAATAACAGATAACATAAAGTTTTACTGAACAAAAACGTTTGAAATTTATTTAGGATGTTTTAGACATTGCACAAATGAAATTTGAGATTTTTCAGATGAAGAAAAGTATTTTTAACCTCAGTATGAAAATCACTTTGCACTCAGAAGCAGTCAACTCTTTGACTTCATATATTCATGGAAAAATTCTTTTGTAAAAATACTTCATTAAAAATAAAACATATTAGAAGTTATAGTATGGAAACGATAAAGGTCAATTTGGGGTCAAACTCAGCCAATTCAACTGAGCCCATAGCAAGACGGTTAAATCAAAATTATATTTTATAATTTGATGGTAACTTGTACTGCAAAAAATAAGGAAGTAATTAATGAAAAATACAATCCTGTATTCTAAATCACTTATACTTTACTATATCTTGTTATTTATTCAGAGTAAACTAATTCCAAAACAGATTAACAGATTACCAGATTTAAAATATAATGCTAGCTATACAACATAGACTTAGAAGACATTCAATAGCTAGCTGATGCAAGTTACTAGTGCTCGTAAATTTAGGTAAGTACTTATTTCTTGTTTTTCATGTGTATTCTTTATTATTATAAAAGTAACTAAAACATAAAAAGTAAAAACATTTTTAAGTGAGGTTTGGTAAAATAAAGAATAATAATAAAATTTAACCTTTTGACTTCTGGTACATACTTTAAATTCTTTTGTGAACATCACTAAAAGTGTTACCGAGTTACATTCTCAAATTTAATTAAACCACTTTACTATCAATGTATTTTAATGAAACTAGCATTATCAAATATGTTGTAACACAAAGTTTTATATTATCTAAGTTATTATTCCCTTGTTTTGAGAAAAACCTCTGAAACAAACAATTAAATCTTGAGTTTTGCTGTCACATAATGTGCATTCAGTTAAAACATCTCAGCTTTGGTTTCTTCTGTTTCTATTCAGCTTAGTCTCAGTACCTATACAACAATCTAGATGAACTTCTACCTGTACAAGGTCAAGTTCTAAACTTATGTTTTATATTACAACAGACTCACATTCCAAGAAAGAGCTTATTTCTCCTCCCCCCTCTGATAGATACCACACCCACATTCCAAAGTAATTTTTACTAGACTCGAATGACATGCTTGTAACCAACAGAAAGGGCAGAGTTTTCAGTCTAATCTCTCAAGCTTACCTGAAAATATAAGCAATAAGTTATTTTACCAACAAAAAGCAAACTGTTGTTAAATCCATTGTTGAGATAAGTGTCCCTAGCACTTGGGAATTTTTTCTCGCCTTATACGTATTATTTGTGTTTTATTTTTTATTATTATTATTGTAAGCTTTGTCTTGCTCAGAAAGTCTTTCCTAATACGGTGAGTGCACACTATATCATGCTGGAGGCTAAAACTGTCTCTGCCAATGATAACGTTATATCAGCCACGAACACTTAGAAGTGTGTTGACATAAATAATAAAGGATAAAGAGAAAGGAAAAAAAAACAATAAAAATAAGTTTTTGAAAAGGTAAAGATATGAAATTACACATGACCCAGAGAAGAAATTGTAAGATTATTCAATGAAAAAGATATAAGGTATGTACATATTTCCATTTTTTAATTTTAAGCATTTCATTGCACTGTACATTGACGATAATAGCTAGAGTTAATGATGTTGTAGAGAAAATGGCAAATGAAATATAAACATTTACCTCAAAAAATTGTTGATACTCCTTTTGGAGGTTCGAGAGATTATGAAAGTGAAATGTAAAAGTTGTAAGATAATAAATAGTATTTTTATACTCAACTTTAAAATTCACTATTCAGTCCAAGTGCAAATAATTCCATTAAATAATGAATTTTTATTAAAAATAGTAGAAAAAAACTAATTTTTGTTTTGTAAAGTACATGCGTTTAAGAAAGTTCTTGTCAAATTTTTGGAAATAAATATATGATAAGAGTGACATTACCTACTAACAATCTTCATTGCCAGTAGTTATAGAGTTAATATTATGTGAAACTAATGGCACAGTAAAGCCTAAAGATGCAGTGTTGAAGTTGAAGCAAATGTGAAATGATAAGAGTTTTAGTGCTATACTGTTGTGTTTTCAATTCAAACAATAGCAATAATAAATCAAAAACACGTAATCTTTACATTTTTCTTTTATATATGATGCACATGTGCATCATAAGCACATGCAAATTAATGCTAAGTGCACACATGCAGTTTCAGAAATGAAGGTGTTAAATGCGTAATAACAGATTTAACTTTTTTCAACACAAGTGTTTGAATATACATAATTAAAAGTCAGCAAATTATGTTGCTCAAGAACACTACTCTTATAAATAGGCTTTCACAACTGACCAAAAAAGGTTGATTATTAATAAGCTAAAAAATATGGAGGTATATTTGTAAGATTGTATAGTTGAATCATGAGCAAAAATAGAAAAATAGAAACAATATATTAACACCTGCCCCACGAGCCAGCACAGTGTCTTGATGCGGATCCAAACAAACGAGTCATTCCAGAAAGATTTGGTCTATCTTGATTAAACAAAAAGAAGACATTTGGCACTCTTTTCAAGGTCTAGGTCACTAGACCAGACCAATGACATGACCCAAGACCATGAGAGCCAACATGGTGAAGTTAACTTGTAAATGTTTTAGCTGTGGTTGAGAATATGATGGTTTAAGTGTTGTGATGAAGTTAAACTGCAAGTCCAGGTTGGATGATGGATAAACTTATTTGAAGATATACCAATCGATTTGACATACCAGCTGAATCAGAGATTCATCAATTGATTACTGCATTGACAGCAAAACATAAAAAAATAATGGGCACAATAGTATCATTATGTTCAAAAAATGGGAATGGAATTATATATAAGAAATCATTAGTTTTAATATTTTGTGAAATTAATGGTACAGTAAAGCCCAAAGATGCAGTGTTGAAGTTGAAGCAGATGCACGATGTATTACATGGTGATTTCCCTAGCAATTCTTAAGTTAAAAATGCCATTTCTGCAATGAAGAGTAAATATAAGATGAATGTTATAATGCCAAGTATGATACCACTGTAGTATAATCCATATAGATTTAATCATGTCATATTTTTTAGTTTTTTCTTTCATTTTAGAAGTTGTGCCAAGTTTCATTCCTCAAGATCTATTGAAATAACCCTAAACCCCAAGTTTTCATAATGGCTCGCCATGTTTACCATCCTAGACTCAGTATTAAAAGATGCTGGGCTGGCACTTTTGGCAGGTGTTAAAAAAAAAAAAACAAGGGGTCTTATAATGTACAATTAGCTAAAGAAAAGCTTGAAACATGAAAGTTTTTGGCATCTATGTTTAGTTTCACACACTAAAATTAGGTAGAATTCATTCACAGGTTTTCTCCAACAGCCAATAAAAAGCTGATATACTGATAAAATAAATGCTGCCCACTTTATAATTAGATAAATTTATTCAGACCTGTAACTAGCAAATCTTAAAAACTCTTGAAAGCATATCTTATATCAGACTATCTTATTAAAGATAACAATCATAAAGTTATTATCAGTAGATAAAAGAATGTTAAGCATTAGGGTTAACACTAATGATTTTCAAATGCTTTTGTTTTGTGAAATGAAAGCCATTTTAGTCAGTGAAATATGCAATGTATAATTCAATAACTTTTTCTCGTGATACATATTATATCTCTAAAGCTAGCAAGCAACAGACATCTAAAATCAAGCTAACCACCAGAAGGCACAGCCTTAATAAGGAAATAATTAAATGTAATTAAAGAAATTTAAAAATATCTTTTTGTAATCGCAATTATATATATAAAAAAAAAGATTCTCACCATCTGATGCCTTGAAAGGTAGGAACTGTAAATGTCTGTACAGAAAGTCATGTGTTGTTCTCAAGTACCGCATCACTGAACCTGATGTGTCTTTATTGGCACAGAGTGTGTAGATAAGCTGATAGGCCAGTGAGGCAGCCTTTGGAGAGTCAGAGACACAGGAAGGATACCCAAAATTATCACTACCTCGGTCTAAGAAAGCAAGAGCAGCATGGAGACAAGTTCTTGATGATCCCAGAACCCCTATGTATGAATAAAACTAGTAATAAAAAACTAAGAAATATTAAGTTTAATAAACAATAAGTATTAATTAGTTTTACCAACAAGGAATTGTCAATTTTCTCCTGAACTAATACTTCCAGAACTTTTTGATTTATTGAAATATCAAAATGGTCTTAACTTAAAGTAAAATAACTTTCAGAAATATCTTGGTTGGAGTCTTTTCAGTTAGTTTTTACCATTCATGAACACATAACCAGTCAATTGATAACCAAAGCTTATATAATGTTCATGATTTCAAAATAGTGAAATAGTTAAATTGTTTTGAAATAATATCATAGATCTTAATGAGCCCAAATTTACACTTGTTCTCTACTTTATGTTATACTTGGTTGGTTAAGTTACGAATAATATATAAGATATGTAAGTATGTTAAAATTTTACAGAACTTAAACAGATTTAAATATTGCTTCTGTATGTTAAACTTACAATAATGATTACACGCACATCTGTTTCTTCATAAATTCACATTTTAGCACTTTGCCACAACACTTTCTACTGTAATAATCTAACACTTCAAAAATCCATTTAATAATGATTCTTTATTAGTTAACAGAAATTTATTTTTGTAATTCTTCTGATCCTCAAGTGCAATTTAAAGTATCATTAAGATTTTAAGTATTATTATTATTATTATTATATATTTAAGAGGGTATATAAAAATATGCTATATTATTTTTATAATAAGGTTGCCTAACAATAAGATGGTAGCCACTACCAAAAAAAAAAAATATATATATATAATAATAAATAAAAAATACTGAAAAGAAAAAAAAACACAAAGAAAAAATTTTAATTATCAATATAGCAGGTATAAATAACAAAAGCTCTCTAAAACTAATTTCCATGTCTTTGTAAAGTCACACTACTAATTTTAAGATTATCTACCAGGGTCTTGTAGAGTTGTTTGAGGAATAGGACGACGAAGGTCAAAACCCAAAAGCATGTGAGCCAAATTATGTGGAGGATGTTTGAGACAGGTCAGTAAAAGTTGCAAGATCAGTTGACGTGTAGTACTTCGAGTATTACTTGAACTCAACAAGGATTCACTTCCTGAAAATCGTAAAATAAACTCTGTACTGCATATCAAACTGTTAAAAATTGATTCATACTGTGATGTTTTAATCCTTTAAATCTAATTAGTAACTCAGCATACTATTTTGTTTTTGAACTTCAATGAACATTATTTTTATCATTCATAATTGGATCCACACTGATAAAGTAATGCATTTTAATCATTACAAGTAAGATATGCTGAAGAGTATAATTAATTAGCTATGCTCATTACTAGGTATATTTTTAGTTTATGTAGATTGCTTTGATCAGAGGTTAACATTAACAGAAAAGTTCCACAGTAAAAACTTTTCATAATTTGAGAAAACAGTACCATTATATTTAATTTATGAAGAGAAAATCAAATTCCAATCCTGTAGAACAATATTCCAATATCAAAGGTACAAATGGAAATAGGAACTTACCTTCACCTTTCATCTTTTCAACATCCTCAGAATCTAGACATTCCACAAAACCATGAAGTAGAATACCATTTTCTTTCTGGAATAAGTCATTATAAAGTTTTAAAATTACTTTCAGTGTAAAGTCATGTTCTTATAGCAACAGGCACATGGGTGAACCCACATATAATATTTATACAGGGATAGATATATACACAAGTAACACAAAATCACTCATAATATTAAACTACTAAAATAACCTATGAAAAAACGTTAATGTTGATCTTTTCCTCTATACAGCATAGATTTATAAAGAATTTATAAGAAAAAATATTACATAGTAACAAACAATCATGGAAGACCACACAATGCAAATAAAGGAGTCACAACCAATGAGTGTTGGCAAACTAAAAGGCAAATAATATAAAATTTATCAGATGAAATACCAAATGGAAAGGCAAATAAACGAGTTGTACAATGCACTAGTATTTTGTATGTGAGCCGTTTACTTCACATAAAGCATTTCACTTTGTTTTCATGCAGTCATAAAATTTATCAAAGTATAAATATGGAACATTTTTCAAAGTGTCCTGTATTACTCCAGAATTCAGCCAAGTTTTAGTACTACCTTTTGATTTTCTAAATTTTTACACAAGCTACAACAATCACAAAATTCTCACATCAGAACTTTATGAAGGTCAAGTCATGATTGTGAGTGTTCTATCAGCCTCTTTAGTATTAAGATACTGTTTCATCACATTTGTTGCAATATTGTGATTAATGAATTCCTACTCAATGACCTAAAGGAATGACCTAACAGGTCAAAATTTGCTTATGCTTGTCAGCAGTATGGTAACATAAATTTAAATTCTTTTCAGATTATCTGACACCACTGGCTGAAATATAGCCCCAAACTTGTACTGATCTATGATCATGCTTCAATATATACATTGTACACTGGCTATGATACTTTTCCTTCTCCACTGTTGAAACAACTGACAAATAATTTAGACTTGGATTCACCTATAAAGAGTGCACATCTCCAACTTAGCTCATTCAACCATTCGTGGTCTTATACCCATTTCAAACTTTTGGTTTGATCATTTTTTCTCAGCAGCAGTTTTTGAGCAGTTGTATGTATTCATGGAGACCACTTATTGCTGATGTGTATCTTACTGTTCTCAAATTACTATACTCACAAGGAAAAGTTTTACCTGATCAGGTTTACTTTATGCAAGTAATTGTGATAAGATTCTATGTTTTAGTAGGAGTTGTATGCAAAACTGAAGAAACTGGTAATATTAATATTTGAGGAGGTTGAGGCAGAAAACAAAAAGAAAGTACATAAAAATGGTAATATTAATAATTGAGGAGGTTAAGGCAGAAGACAAAAACTTGTCATAAGTGATTTTAAATATCTTAATGAGTATGAGGTAAATTATGGTGGAGTACAGATCTTGACTACAAATTTCTACATGCTTGCCATGTGGCATTTCAGTCCCATGAGCCATGAGTGGATTCACATTGCTACTATTGAGGATCACTCCAGGGAGACATGACTGGATTCACACTACTACTGTTGGGAATAGTATATTTTCCTGTAATTTTAGAGGCTTTGTACTGTTGTGGCATTTCCTGACTAAATTGTTGACAAGCAATCACAGCATAAACTATCAACACATGATTGTACTCTGGTGCAGTTCATTTTCATATGATAAAGAGGTGGAATACTTATAGCATTTACATTTAACACCCCTTTTCCTCATAATTTTCATAATTATTTCCAATAATAAAAATATTTAATATTTTGATGCAGTTTTTCTAGTGTTACTCCAACTAATCTATTTCACTGACAATTGGTTGTTTTTCACATTTGTGCATCAACTTACAACAATTTTGTTATTGATTAAATAACACATTATCTCAAAAATTCTATTTAAATAAATAAATAAATAATAGTTGACTAAATCATATTTACCAAGCTTATGTACCTAGATAAATTGCAGTGACAAACTCAACAATATGAATTTACACTGACCAATCAGTGCAGACAATTAATAACATTTTGATAGTGGGTGAAAATAAATCCATTCCAAAGTCTGACAACACTTTTGAAATTTGTAAATAAATAAGTGATAGTCCAATGCCAAAACTTTCATCAGGAAGAAGGTTATTTGTCATAAATGTCAGAGAAAATATAATGGTTATTACATACTTGAAAATGTATTTTCATGAGCCAATTTTATAATTTCTAACATATCAAGATTTACTTCTATGACATGTGAATAACCAATCTAAAACTCAGAATGTTCCCCTAGTGGTTTTCTCAGCCATTTTCAAGTATTATGATGTCATCTTGTTCTTTCAATACAAATCTTAAAGGTGGTAAGTTTAGTCTTTAGTCTGCTTGAAATTTCATATTTTTTAGACCCAAATACAGCTTAGTTATTAAGCTTGATAAATTATAATGGAATTCAATGGTATTGATAGTAATTTGTGATTTTTGGTTATTTCAAATGTATATAAAAAAACCTAAAAAAAAATTATTTCGTTTCACATCCTCCATTTGTGAAATTTTATAAAGCTTAACAACCCATGACAAACAACAAACAAGTTCAAAGATCATAACTAGAAGAGGTAATTGTTTGTTTTACTTCTTTATTTACTGTTCTATGTTTTAAGAAAAACAAGTTTAAGAACATATTTGTAAATAGTAATAATGTATATACATATATAATGTATAATAATTGAAATGTGACTGTATTTTACAAAATACTAGTCCACTAAAACACAGCCAAGGCATGTCATTTTGTTAAGACTTTGGTCAGTTTTATATTATTGGATACTGTAACATGAGTCACATGTGCTGCACCATTGTAACTTTTGTACTGTTAGTCAGGCATGGCTGAAAGGTCAGTATAATAAATATATATAAATGTATAATATTATGAGATTTAAGCTAATTAGTCTAAACATTTATCATGTTATAATCTGTAGTCATCCCAGAACAAAAAAGGCATAATTTACACTTATTTCCTAATTTTCTATTGAGGTTATGAGATCGGTCAAATCGAATATAACAGATAAAATATAAAGTTTTTTCTTAAGACACATCTGATAACTATCTGGACGTTAAAAAGATTTTGCATGTGAAATTTGAAAATTTTCTGATGCATAAAAGTATTCTTAATCTTCAAATGAAAATTACTTTGCATATTGGAAAGGCAACATGCGAAAAGAAAAAAGGCATGAGAAAAACATTGCTTAACAAACCTTAAGACTTAATAAAAAAATATGATATTTTGTGTATGAAAGCCTTGGAATGTTTACTGATAATCTGCCAAATTTCATGAAC